AGTTGGGCTCTGAAGGTTTTTCCTGAGGAGCAGTTTTGTTTGGGGTGTGTGGTTCTAAAAATAAAGTTTGTTTCTTTTGACAAGTGGCTCCTGATTGTGCTTAGCCAGACTGTGGCAGACCAACACAACAAAAGGATAGGTGGCTTCATAGAACAGAAAAGCCAGGCCCATTAGACGTAGGTGAGCATGGGGACAGAGGGTTTTGTCAAAAGCTCCAAGGAGAGAGAACAGAGACTAACAAACAGCCCATGAGGCTCAAATCTCTGAAACTTCATGCAATCAGGGTACCTTTGAACATAATTCTGAATTCAAACTCGACTTTCAAATTCCTCATGGGAGTTAAGGCTAAGGAAGGAGGGGATAGTCTTTAATGACCCAAGCAGAACTTGAAGGCAAAATTCACCTCTAAATGACCATCTCAAGCAAATAACCAACAATAACAGATAACCTAAAATAGGAGAAAAGGACAATATTCTTATTATATGGGTATAATATGTATGTTCCATTATGAACCAGAGAAGTGGTACAGTATAGATAAATTCTCATCTGAACATTTAAAATTTCTGAATCAAAACCACCTTTTTGGTGTTGTAAAGGTGTTCAATGAATGTTTACAAAAGGAAAACATTCTATTATTTTGCTGCATAAAAGAATCATACTCATATTCTTAAATATTTATATTATAAATATTTTGTTTTAAAGAGATAAACTTATTTAGAAAAGGTATCTTACAACTTTTCATGTGCTTGGATCTTAACTTTTGGCTGCTTTGTAGCTGCTTAATCTAAATAGCAGGTAGGACAGATTAATTCTGGRTTTTTCAGAATGAATGGTTAAGTAATGTTTTAGAAAAACCAGTTGTGGAGGGTGTACTGTCTTGAGTCTTACATGTTTATATATGTTTTACCCAACAGAGATGCTAGGAATCAAGCAAATTGAATCTTAAGTAAGAAATTTAAAGAGCTCAAGAATACAGAATTTTGCTATGTAAAAGAAATCTGACAAAAAAATTAAAGACATTAGCAACATCCAGGTCAACATAGTAATGAACATTCTTTCTTTTCTTTTTGGTACTGGGGATTGAACCCAAGGCTACTTACCCACCGGGCCACATCCCAAGCCCTTTTTAACATTTCATTTAGAGACAGCGTCTCACTAAGTTGTTTAGGGCCTCACTAAGTTGCTGAGGCTGTGGCTTTGAACTCACTATCCTCTTGCTTCAGCCTCCCGAGCCGCTGGGATTTCAGGCATGTTCCATTGCACCCAGCTGAGCATTATTTCTTAAAGATAGTGTGATGAAATAGTCATGAAATAAATGAATGGATCATGTATGCACATACCAAAACATGATCTGCTCAAATCTGCATCTCTTTAAGACAAACTTCTTCATGGGTGTGATAGGGAAACCAAGGTAGATAAATATCCTGTGCAAATCCATTTTCATACAGAAATTCAAAATTGAAGGTAAGTAATGGCTTCCCATTTGTGGTGAGACAAAATGCAGGAAAGATTATTGCTTCTCTAAAGCATTGCAAAGGCAGTGCAAAAGACTCCTGTGTCAATGCCAGTCAAAAGCTGGCACAGGTCAGTGACCTAAATAGAAGAGAGATCTCAGCTTCCTTCTTACCTTTCAATCACAGCTTGCCAATTGTTGATTAAGAAATCCTTTGCTATGTACCGGCCAATTTCAGATGCTGCCACAGCTTCCATTACATTTGTTTCATTAAAAGTGAATGGAAATGTAGTGATGGCATACTCCATATATCTTCAAGAGTGCATTTGCAAAAAAAAAAAAAATTAAAAAATTAAATACAGAGTCAAATAAATTGAATTAAAATCCCGTGGTTTTAAGTTAGCAATTCATAAACACGTTTCTTTTTAAATCTTTAGCACATTTCTGTTTTCCTCCTTTTGGTATATAAATTGAATCCCTCCACCAGGAACTTCCAAAATAAGTTGACCACAATCACCTGTTAAGTATCCATGGGTCTTTACTGCAGCTCATTGCATAAGCAAGTTGGATCCTTTCCTCCTCCTTTGTTGTATTAATGTAGACATTTAACAAAAAGTCCCATTCTTTATCACTTCCCAAGGCAACGCCATAACATAAAATCACATTTTTAATTGGATAAGGTATTCTGTAAGGTATAACATGCAATGAAATTTCTCACAGTAGTTAAGTTATTCAGGTTGTCACATATTTAGAAGTAGAAAAAAATATTTGAAAAAAAATTTGAAACCCCAGACATAAAAATCAAAAGTAGAGATAGAGAAAAGTAATGCAGGAACTGTCATTTGCATTCATGCCATAAGAAAAGATCATCTAATTAGCTTAAAAGGTGAGTTTTCAGAGAGAAGTAAATGAATAGTATGATGTAGGTGGATAAAAGCAATTTGGTCTTCTAACTCATTGTCATATTCCTCCTGTGGTAGAGGTAATGAAGACAAAAATGTAGTCTCAGCTTTCAGTGAGACTTCAAATTTAGAGGGTGGCGGGGGTTGGCTGGGGAGATGCTCTGATAAGTTCATAGACCTAACGTGAATAAACAGTCACAAAGAACAACCTAATAAGACTCAAAACAAGCAGCGGAGAGAATTCTATGTTAAATGTTTATGGAAAGAATGCACCAGCAATGAGAGGTCGTGGGTGACAATTTACCTAAGAATTTGAATCTTCTATTGTTATGCAAAGACAAGTTTTTTGTGGCAAGAACCTACAATTTACCCTTTTAGCAAAAATACCAAAATTAATACAATATCACTCATTAGTCGTGGTTTACATTATATTTCTATACATGTTCATTCTATGGATGTGCACCTTGGTATACTTGGATCTACATCTCATTTCCTCCAAATCTCTACCCCTGATAATCACTATTTCATTCTATATAGACGATTGTTTTTTAAAAGGATATTTGAAAAGAAATTAGACAGAGATATTAACCAAGTGAAAACAAAATGATCACTGCCACTGTGAGAACATCCAAAAGATAGAGACATCAGTTCTAAAATATGACACAAACAAGGGAAATTACAGTGTCACTCATACTCGTTCTCTGGATGGTTCATCCATTTTCTGAAGAGTTCTCTTGACAGCTGGAGACAGTCTTCAAGACCCAACCAACATGCAGCTCCAAAAACTTTTTCCAGTGATATTCTTGAAGGAAAAAGTCAAAGAAAAGCATTTCATTTCACATTATCACCTTCATTTTTTTGGCTTCCAAGAGTGTGTGCTTCATGAAAGGATGAGCACTTTAAAGCTTCCTTTCAATAATATCAGGTCTGTTTTTAAAAAATAGCTTTTGTGGATGACAAATGGATTTAAGATTCAGAGAAACTTTTGCTGAGAGGCTCTCAGGCACCAAAAAAGCTCCTAAGACTAGTATTTTTTGAAAGTTAGAAATAAATTACTGCCATCTTTCATCTCCTTCAAACACACATGGGTGTACACACACTCCACATCTGTTGTCAATTTACTTTTCCTCCCTTTGACAGTAATTGCCTTATGGATAAAAAAAAAGTCTTTAGTGTATCTGATCTAATACACTTAAAAATAAGGATCTCTCTGCAAGAAAAAGAAAGAAAATAGTTTATTTTGCTCCTTCTGCAGTTTGCTTTCCCTTGCTTAAGTATCTGTTTCTTCCCTTACTCCTCCTGGCTATTGTGTGCATATACAGGAAAAGAACAGAGGTGTTGRTTTGGTTTATTTTTATAGCTGAGCAGGGATTCACATTGTGATTCAAAGCAAAATAATTTCCAAAATAATAGAGTGAAAAACAATAATAAATCCAGGTAAGCAATCCCTTGCAGTGTGTCTTCCTACCCTCTCCAAGTTTGGGGTCTGGGTAAAAAAAAAAAAAAAAAACTGGCTGTAAATTTCCAGAAAATGCAAAAGCCAAACGCTGTTGCTCCACCCTATAGTTTCAACCCAGCCTAGCCAGACCTTCTGATAAGCAAAAGTGGAATGTCCAAGGGTGGAGATCCTCTGAGAGAGAATTCTGGGCATTAATTTACGTAACTTACTCCCTCTCCCTACCCATCCCAACCCCAAGCTGGCTGCAAAAAGATGGAGTTCTGAGGAAATGCAGTCACTCCCCAAGGTTGCTTGAAGAAAAGAACCGGCCCAGGATGCTACAAAAAGTAAGCCACTTCAGTCTAATTTAGGAGAGCCAAGAATACGTCTGGTTAACATATGTGCTGCCTGATGGAGCACATTTGGCCGTTCTGTTTGTTCACACAATTTGACTGCCCATTCTATCTTAGGCAGTTCTCACCTTCTTCCACCTTCTCATGTATTCAGTTCTGTGTCCTTCCAGTTACATACCCTAGAGCTAAGATTTCTAGCCTCTCAGAGGGTAAAAATTGAGGGAATAATCAATGTTGTATATTTTGTATTTCTTTTTTGGTCTTTAATTGAGTTGAGCCTGATGCTGACTAGAAGTTGTAGCTATAATGCCTGTTCTTTGGTGGCTCGGAATTCCCTCCCTAAATCCAGAAAAGCCTGTCCACACACACACAAGCCTTAGGTCATGGGGTGTATCAAGGTACCACAGCCCCAGGTTGCCTTTTGCCTCCTTCCCAGACCATCATGATGTGYTTACTCCCCTTGGGAAAAATCATTTGCAATACTCAAACATGCTCATATACTAGTGACCACTATGTATCACTGTCAACTGACCTCATTACATGATAGAATTCCTGTTAACAATAATACAGAGGGGACTTTTCCCCCTGTGGCCTTCCTATGTTCTCAGACTTGCTGGCATAGGGTAGTTTGCTTAGCATGACTCTTCTCTGGTTTCAACCAGTAGCCTAACTTTGAGAATATAGAGTTATATACTCCTGTGTGTGCACACATATACTTTGCAGACAAATTAAGACCCAAGGTATCCTCATTAGAATAAGACATATTCCATGTTTGTATACATATGTTAAAATTGACTCTACTGTCATAAATAAATTAAAAAAATTAAATTAATTTTATCACACAAAAAAAAATAGCTAAGTGTTCAAAGTCTGATGCTTTAATCTGTTCAAAACCTCAGTGGATATTCTTTGTTCTTGGCTTTTTAAAAAAAATGGAATGAAAAGAATGAGGTTGCAATCTACATATCACTGATAAGAAATAGTTGTTTATTTAGTTTTACCTAGGAATGTCACCCAATAGCTGAATGTCTCTGAAAAAGTTTCTTAACTTTCCTGGATAGGTTTTATAATATGTAATTGGATATAATACATTTGTCACAGAGCTATTGTAAGAATGAAAACTGTGTCATAAAAAAAGAAAAAAAATTTTTTAAAGTTATTATTCCAAGCTATTATTCCCTATAAAGACACATATAGCCCACCAATCAAATAATGTACAAGCTCTCCCAATGAATAATAGTTATTAAGATGTTATTTTATGAATCTGGAAAACCATATATTAATATGAATAATTGTATTCAATTATCACTGCTTAAAAAGATACTTACAGAGCCAAATAGTCATCTTGCAAAGCTGCTACATTTTCAAGAATTATTGTTGAATAAATATTCCATATTGAGTTAAGCCTTTTTAATAAATACTTCTATAAGCCACAAAGAAAAATATACAGTTAGTTCTGACTCAGAATACTACATTTTTATTGTATTTCTTTTTATTTAAAAAGATATTAATATAGAAGTTACATATTTCTTCAGAAATTATCCTTATTTATTATTAAATGTATAATTGTTTTCTTTTTAACTTTTTGGGTTCAGTTCCCTCTTACATAAAAGTRGTTTATAATAATGCTAATGTTGTAGCTTTATTGTGAGGGTTGAGTAATATAATGTCTATGAGCACACTACCTGGCACATGGTCAGAACTCAGTAAATATTAGCTATAACAAACATTTAATATCAACCAAAACATTTCCATATGGAGAAAATATATAAAAATGTAAAACAACCTTTCTACCTTAACATTTCCATGCCAAGTGTATAYACATATACATGTGTGTGTATATATATCATGTCTTTATATATAATAGAGTTTTTAAAGTTTTATAATATGTAAATGGATGTGATACATATGCCACAGGTCTATCTTAAGGATATCATATCCTTATATACAATAAAGTTATCTTTATATGTAATAAAAATATTACATATATATATCATAGCCTTAATATATATGTGTGTGTGTGTGTGTGTGTGTGTGTGTGTGTGTGTGTGTATAAATAAAATATGCTTATTTGGTTTTGCCTAGGAACTATATCATATCTTCAAAGTAATGAGAACTGATTTATGCCCTGGACAATCTAAAGCCCCGAGTTGAAATAAAGTTCTCTGAGCTTCCAGCTCATAAATTCAAGATTATGAAAGTTAGACAATTACTAACATATTCCTAAGAACAAACTAAATGTTAATCATTGAAATTCTCTGAAGATAAGTATTAATTTTTTACTTCTTTACTCATAACCAAGCATTAGATGTTATCAATAAGCCAACTCAGTCCCCAAAACAGTGCCTTCTGCCACTGGCCACCACCCCTATGCTCCACTAAGTTCCCACCAGTACTTTTGATACTAAAAAAAAATCAACACCTAGGACCTGAGATATTTGTAATGCCACCCACAGAATGACCCAGAAATGAACATACTTTCTGACTCCCTGTGGCCCCTAAATATCAAAAGGGTGGCTCCCTGGCTCTTGCTTTGATTATACAGGTGCCATCCCAAAAGTGACTGTTATTTAGGATGTAGCAGTGAAAATTCTCCTCTTTATATTCTGTCATTGATGGTGGCATATCATTTCTTCATTCATTAATTTAATTTCCCACTTTTTCTTCCTAATATTAAAAACAACTACAAAACTTTTATTCTTTCTGGAATATATTCCTCTGATTTTAAGTGTTGATCCGGTAGATCAAAGTATTGCAATTATAAAAACAGGGCTGTTAAAAAGACCTTGTGTTTGCCTAACAAACTCTTAGAGAAATACTTTCTAATAGATACTGTCCTTTTCTATATGAAAGAAGATGTATTATTTCCTTCAGTTCTGGTTTCTTAAAATACACTGTCACCTTACCAAGAATGAAGTACCCTTGCAAATTTCTCTCATACATGTCTCCTAGACCAGCTAAGAATAATCAGCTATTGCTAAGAAGACTATAGCTACATGAAATGAATTGACAGTTACTTTGGGAAAGAGCGGTCTTTCAGATGCTGGCTAGAATATGGAAAAAGGAAGAGAAAATTTATTTTAAAACTACATAACATGGGCTAGGATGTGGCTAAGTAGAGTGCTTGCCTAGCATGTGCAAAGCCCTGGGCTTGATCCCTAGTACCAGAAAATAAAACTACATAACAAAGCATGAAATTACCTTTAATAATGGGTATGTATCATAGTCGTTCACATCAGAAACAAGATCCCTGGTTATCAAGTTTACCAAGACTTCATACCATACTATGATTTCATCTTCTTCAGCAAGGTACTTGGTTAAATCAAGTGCTGTTTCAATCTCAATATAATTGCTTCTGTTTGGTTTAAAAAAAACACATACACACACTCTCAAAAAACCTTCACCTGCTAAATGATTTGTACTGTTTCCATATTTGTTCCATGCTTCAATGCCTGACTTCAATAAGGTGTGTGAATAAGTCAAAAGGCAAGAAGRTTACTTAAGGTCCCATGTTACTAGTAAAATGAAACACAAGAAGTGTTGCTAGACTTTCCATTTCAATTTAGTACATTCATGCATCCAAACTGGAAGCTGTAGAAAGTCCAGGCCAAATGTTGGCTCAATTATTGGGCAAGAGAATATTAGATATCTATTATGTGTTTTTGTGAGAGTGTATTTTCTATTCAACATATATAAAATCATTATCTAATGCTCTGTCAGCTGCCAGTGGGCACATATCCATAAGACCTTACACTTACCCACTGTTAAGAGCATTGGTGAGGAGCAGAAACTTGCTGTTAGGTCCCTGGACAGGTGATGAATACCATAAAGTGGCAAAGAAAGAAGCATTCGCATGGAAAGGGGGAAACATGGAAAAGAGGGGACAGTCAGAGAAGGCCTCATGGCTTTTTGGAAGAACTTGAGAAAACCACTGAAGGATGGGTAGAATTAAAATGGACAGAGAGAAGGAAGAAGACAGCCCAGGACAAAAGTAATATGGGAATTAGTGTGATGGGCAGACCAACCTAACAGAGGGAGGGAATTTCCTCTATGTGTGGTGAGAGGTGGAAACTAATAGATGAGGTGGTTCAAACCCTCGAAGACCCTTGAATGTCAGAATGAAGAGCTTAGGTTTGGTGGGAAAGCACTGTCAATATTTAAGTAACTGGGGTAACATGATGGAATTRATGCCTAAAAATTTCATTGCTGCAGTGCTGACAAAGACAGAATGAAAAATTCAAAAGAACTAAAGGCCTAGAGCCTAATKAAATAGGTCCTAATGCAATAGGCCAGGCAAAAGATGCCAAAAATTTGACTTAGCATGAAGCAACTAAAGTTGTAAGATAATAATCCAAAGGACACAACAAGAATGAATAAATAATACATACAGACCTGTGAAACATGAGAGCTGCAGAGCTAAAAGGAGAATATCTGTCAGGTTTCTAGTTTGAGTAATGAGAATAGTGGTATTCTTGACACAGGCATAGAAATTGATAGCAAGAGCATTTTGGAGATAGAAATAAAGTTCAGTGTTTAAATGACTAAAGGATAAACATAAGATAGGAGGAAAGCAAAGTTGATGTGTCAATTTAGAGCATTTATTAATCATCATATACCATCTGGGTACTGTACATATATAAAATGGTCACTGAAATCATAAGAATGAATGAGCTATCCAAAGGAAAAGGAAGAAGATGACATAATCGTGATTCAGCTTCAGGGTGCTCACAGCAATAGGAAAAAGCAAAGTCAAATACAGGAGGAGAACTGGGTTTGCAAGTGGAGTCTCAGGAAGCTGAAAAGTTTTTAGGAGGATGTAGTCAACAGTATCAAAGTCAGGGTGCCCTCAAAGAAGTTTTTCAGAAAGGTTTTGCATAAGGAAATTAGCTACAAGTCACAGAGGGAAAAAGCAGCAAAGACATGACATCCTCAAGAAATATGACAGGACAAAGACACAGAGCATGCTAGATAACTTACAACATTATAGCCCTTAATTTTATTGCATGAAAATTTTAAATCTGTAACATATATTAATTTACCTGGTTAAATACTTAGCAGTGCATCTTAATTACTCTGAATAAATATATTTAAAGTCAATAGTTCAGCAATGCATTAATATACAAGCCAGATCTCATTAAAATTATACCTTTGGGTAAAGAAATGACTTTGAAATATCAAATGATAGCCTATTTATTTTCAGCAACTCTTTCTGCTGTAAAATTCCAATATGACCACAGAAGTTGAAACTAATTCTAATCAGTTAAGGCATGTGTATACTAAAGAATAAATTCTTAGCAATGAGGCTATTATTTTTTATGAATTTTAGGTATACTCTAAAACAACTATGAGAGAAGTAAACATACTCACTTAGACAAGGAAAAAGCATCATCAATCAACTGCAGTCTGTGAATAACAGGAATGGCCTGCAGAATATGACCCAAATAGGTGAAGGGAAAGATGAGAACACTTTTAATAAAATATTTTTTTAAAAAAAATAACATTTTAAATATCATTGCTGCCTCCAAAGTACTTTCACATGAATTATTTCATCCACAAAGTAATTGCTAAGGAAAATCCCCATCATTTATTCATTATACATCTATTTTTGATAAATGATCCCTCTGGACATCAATCATAATGTTTAAATATGGCAGAGAATTTTTCCAAAGTACTCCCTAAACATACTACATTAAAAAATAATAAAAAGGTAGTCAAATTTTAAAGGCCTCTCTAAAAACAGAAAGCATACAATAAATTGTAATACAGAGTCCAAATTATGTTCAGGTGAGTTTTTGGCATGGGAGGACTTAAATAAATATTATTTCATGCCACTTTGGTAATACCAAGGTATTCTGTCTTTTTAAGATTTTACTGATGTGTCACATAGCACCAACAGAGTCCCTTATATACATGAAAAGGTTGGTACCTTTGACACTAACTGGTTAGCTTTTGTCTAAATTCCTTGGCATTGCCAGGTCACAGGACTCTGAACTCAGCTTCAATACCCTCCAGGTGCCCAAAGCCTCCTACATCATTCCTTAAACATCTCCCAACTCTTTGGTATATTTGGTCCTAGAAAATTTATCTTCACAACATTCCTCTGAGCATCAGAGCAAGCCAAGTTAAATTCTTCCCTCAGTAATAGTCTCATCACTTTTCTAGCAGCATTAATACTTATATTTTTCTAGATGAATACTAATACTACAAAGTAGGTTTTATTTGCTCACCAATTATTTTGTAGAAAGAATTTACCTTCATTTTTCCATAAGTAAATCTATTATGGTTTCAAGAAATTATTGCTAAAATTACATAACCTAGTATTTTGTGTTGTAAAGTGCCCTTAGAAACTAATAAGAATTTAGCCACTTTGATAAAGATTTTTAAAGAAGATATTATTTTAAGTGGCTTTTGTTAGTTTATTTAAAATCTTATTTAAAAAAACAAAGTACTGCAGGGTGTGCAGGCACATGCTTGTAATACCAGAGACTCAGGAAGCTGAGGCAGGAGGATCTCAAGTTAGAGGCCAGCCTCAGCAACTTAGCAAGACCCTCAGCAACTTAGTGAGATCCTGTCTCAAAGTAAAAATATTCTTAAAAAATGACTGGGGAATGTAGCTCAATGATAGACTGACTCTGGGTTGAATCCCCAATATATATATTTTAAAAATTACTGAAATGTTCTGAAAACCTGACCTGTGGTTTGATCTTTGTTAAACATAATACAGGTATCATTTATTTAATCTCCACAGCAGCACTTTAAGGTTGGAATATTATACCCACTATACAAATAAAGAAATTGAGGTGCTGGTCAAAGAAGAGATCCAAGTTCACACTTATGGTAAATGATGAACAAAAAATATGAACATGAGTCTCCCTGACCCAGAACCTATGGGTCATCATGCCATATGGCTTCCTCAGGGAGAGAGGCTTATTGTGTCCTCACAGCATTTTTGAAAAGCAGACATTTAAGACATATTTTAATTCAACATTGCAGTTTTATAAATGGGATCTAAGTGACCTGCCCACGGTTCACAACACATCACAGCAGAGCCAGCGGCATAGATCCCTAAGCCAACATGCATTGCTACTAGTGGAGATTCGGTTTAATTCAACCAATTAAAATCTATTTAATTTGAGCTGTTCAACCTTAGTGTTTATGGATTTCATAATGACTTGTAGTGATTTCATAATGTAAAGTGATATTGGATCATTATTGCTGTTTTATGAATTAAATTCTGTCCTCTGAGGAAGCACATGAATATGTTTTCAGGAATAAAGTTAATATTTTCTAACATATATTAAGTAACTATATAGGCTTAGAAATTTTAAGTATTTTTAAACCTACATCATCTTTAATCCTCATGATAAATAAGACATAGTGATATTTCCATTTTAAAGTGAAGAAATGGAAGCAGAACATTTAAGTCACTTGCCACAGTTTGCAAAATAATTAGTAGGAAAATGTATTCTGATTTTCACCTGAAGGTAAAATGATTTTGGAAAAGCAAGAGGAATATTCAAAAACATAATGCATTCAACCAAAACCACCCTTTTTCTAAGAATAAGAAAAACAACCTCTTCAGCATGGCTGGAGGTGAGGGTGGGAATAGGGATGGAGACTCTTCCCATAAGAAAGCTCACCTTCTAAAAGATGAGAGAGGACACCATGAACAGTACTTAATTCAAACTACCCAACAGAACCTTACCTTAGGGTCCTTCATAAGCTGTTGGCTTAATTTTTTCCAACCTAATTTATCATAATTAACTCTATAATAGCCAGTCATATTCAAATTTAAAATCACCCAGTCTTGGTCAGAATCTGAAACTTGCATTTCAGGGAATACTTCTACAAAAAAATATAGGAATAGTTTGAAATGGTACATTTACAAATTTTTTTCAATACATTTTTATATAATACATTCTCAGTTCTAACAATAAACCTAACAAAATTTTTAAAATTCTAATTATATATTGGTCTTACCATATAATCATATTTTTTACATGTAATGGCTTTTAATTAAAACTTTTCTTTAAAGTTCTATGTTCTACAAGAAGGATACATTTTAGTTCTAAATGAGGTCTCAAAAGCTAGACATTTGAACATCTTATTCACTGCCTTTATATATGTGTATATATGAAGCTGTTTTTTAAAATTTGCTACTTACTGCTGCTTTTGTCTAGCCAGACTAAAGATTGTGGAGCTCCATTTTTTATCCAAAGAATAGGGACAATCCATGTGTCACTTTGGGGAAGAAAAGCAAAAAATTAGTTGATTTTAACACATAAGAATGCACACTCTGAGCCAATATTAAAGACAGGATAAAATAGCGGAGAGAACTGGAATTCTTCGCTCATTCCCTCTGGACTTTTTGCTCATAGGATTATTTGCTAATGTTTTTACAAATAGCCAGTTTTGCTTTGGCTATTTGCTCACTCCCCTCTCTTATTGTGTCTTACAGATTTATTCTTAAGTGTAGGTAGCTCCTAAGACTGTTTTATATCTGCTCCCTTCAAGGCCAATTTATGTGAAATTATGACCACATGGCCTCTCTCAAGGGCATTCAAAGGCTGTATACAGACCCAAATCAGTCCATGCCCAGAGGTGAAGGATAGTTTAAGAAAATGCTTAATAAATGTTTAAAAATACTTTTTAGTCTCTATCTCTCTCCCCATCTGAAATATGCTCAACAGAACTCATCCAGGACATTTATATTTGTTGGATTCCTACATTTTTTTCCACATTGGTGGGTGTGACCCAGATGAACCTGCTGACACCACAGGGAGCTCATTAGTCATCTGAAAAGACATATGACTTGGACATTGGGCAGCATTTCCAGTCTTGCTCAAATTTTCACATGCCTGGTTTCTCAGACTTGCAAGTGTAGGTATGTGTTTTTTTGCAGAGTTAAGACTTCTTTCTCTTTCAAAGGCACAGAATATTACAGTGAGAAACAGCCCTCAGTATTCCTGTTTTCTTTCCCCTGGGGTTTTAACGAAGGAGTAAGACAACCTGAAAATTTTGGTGATGGTATTTGAAAATTGATAATTCATTTGTGCTGATACCTACTGTAATAAAATGTGAAAACCAAAACTATCAAAAACAGTTGAAAATTAACAAATTAAGAAATGTAAAAGAGGGGAAGGAGGAAGTGATGAGTTCTGTACAACTACTTGACATTTCATTTTTTACAACACTCCCCTAAGATGTGTCAATAAATTTATTTTATAGATAAGGGAACTGAAACTCAGTTTTATGGTTTTTATTTTGTTTTTACAGGGTGCTCTGTCACAAAGCTATATCCCCAGCCTTTTTAAATTTTATTTTGAGATAAGGTCTCTCTAAGTTGCTAAGACTGGTCTTGAACTTGCAATCCTCCTGCCTCAGCTTCCTGAGTTGCTAGGTTTATAGGTGTGTGCCACTGTGCCAGTCAGAACATCTAAACAAGATGAACCTAATATTTGAATTTTGGTGAGATCAGTGTTCCACGCAGGTCTAACTGCATCTAAAGGCCATAATTCCTGTGGCACTATCTTATTGTCTTTCACTCAGAATCTCAAGCATTCATTACCTCTATCTAAAAGACTATGAGCAACATATAACACCCCAAAGCCTTGGTCACTGGCATGGCTCTAAATCCCAGGAGAGGGACATGCTTTGGGCCCCTAACTGCAGATCTCCAGCCTTGCTCAGGACTCTGGGGCTCTGTCTCACCCTGGTACACAGTGGCATTCTATGTAGAGTCCCTTTGCAGTAGGCCATGTGCCCATCAAGGGATATGCTTCCTCCCCACTGGCTGGTTTCCATTCCATCAGAGCTCAGCCCAAGGCAGGTGAAGACAAAGAGAAGCAAAGTTACCTACTTGTGGGCTTGAAGAGTCTGATTTTCAGCCTTTCCAAGATAAAATGGTTCCTGTTTCATGAAACCAGTAGACACATTCAAAGTGATGACTGGAAAACCACCCTGGTGTGTCCAACTGTCCATTATAGTTTTTACTGTTGCTGGCAAAAGGATCTCACTCTGGTTATCTATGGCCTGGTTTAAAAAAGATCATCACAAATGCAGATACAGTTATCAGCAAAATCTTTTGAAGTAGCAATCTCCTAAAAGAAATGCAGTAGCTATGCTAGTCATCATCTACATTGTAATCCCCAGTGATCTGGGCCAAAACCAGAACTCTGTTTATTTCTTTACAGTTATCCTTTGGCATGAGGGGGATTTGTTCCTAGACTCCCAGAGATATCCAAATTCACGGATTCTCCTGTCCCTTAAATAAAACAGAGTAATGTTTGCATGCAACTTATGCACACCTTCCTGTATACTGTAAATTATTTCTATACTACCTATTGGGATGTAAAAACTATATAAATACAGTGACTGTTATACTGTATGATTTAGGGAACAATAACAAGAAATAAAGTTCTGTACATGTTCAGTACAAGTCCAATTTTTTTCTAATATTTTGCATCTGGGGTTGGTTGAATACAGAGAAGTGACTATATATGAGTGGTTACATACTTCATTTATTCATTCATTTACAGAGTACATATTTATGAATCTAGTTTGTGCCCAGGCTCTGTTTTGGGCATGAGAATACAGAGAAGACTAAAGACACAATTCCAATTCCTGACCTAAGGGAGTTTCACAATCAAGGCAAAATTGCTTTTCTGTGAAGCTGCCATTGACCCCTGGCCTCCCAATCTTGTACTATAACAGACAAAACAACCCAGTAAGAAAGTATCCAAAAGTAGGATGATTACCATTTGAAAATGCCTCCATAGATCATCTTGCTCAGCATTTGAGTAAGAAAACATCTTCAAATATGACTGTAAAAATAGGGAAGTTAAGGTTGAAAAATAGTATGCCTTAGCTATATGTGTTTGCTGTCATCCAGGTAGCAACTGGTCTGCAAACTCACCTTAAGTGCACTGATAAATAAATGCTCATTCAGGAAACTGGAAAGCATCCGGGCCATAGATGCTCCCTAGGATGTAAGAAGCTGTTCATTATTTGCACAAAATTCAATATCTACATACTGACACATTGCATTTTAAAAAGCGATATTCTGGGCTGTGTTCCTGATYGCATTTTGTACTTTAACTGAAGGCTTGAATTATCCCTAAATATACTGAAAAAACAGTAGTCTGTCACTAATGAAGAAGTAAACAGTGAGCTGGTGTACTACATATAAAAAATTGAAGGTACACTAATTTTTTTTGATTCAAGTATTTATATGTAATAATATATTTCTATCAGACAGAATTATCTGTCTTTATAATACATCTATTTATGATGTTTTTTGACCTTTCCAAGATAAAATGGTCCCTGTTAATATTTTCTAAGTTAGAACTAATTTGACTACATTTTCTGAAACCCATTTATTCAATAAAATTAAGGATATTCATATCAAAAGTTTTAAGTTTCACATTAATTTACAAACCTTAGAATCCATTTTATATAACTTTCTACAAGAACAGAGGAAAATATCTAACTGCTTTTACCTTGTTGTACGTAAATAAGTCAAAGAGCTCATTTATGTCACTTGTTTCTGTGAAATTTTCCACCTTCATGGATACAGCTCTAGACACCAGGGCATGATCTTCTTTGAGGACACCATGTAAAAAGTTAGAAAAAAAGACCTCATTCTATAAAGGAAAAGATTAAGCCACATTAACTTCTGGGGTGTCACAGAAAGACAAAATTAAATGGTCCTAAAACACTTCCAAAAACTTCTATTGAAGGGGGGAAAAAAAGAGAAGCATCTGTGAATCGTAGTAGGCCTAGAGTCATAATTCCTTGAATAACAAAACTATAGGAGACTTCCCTTCCCATTTTATACCTTGTAGTATTTAAATTTTTAAAGAATCATTATAAAGTTAATGTGGTATCTAAGAGTCGTGTACATTTCCCCTAAAGAAGCCCATGGCTACTTGCCAGGGCCTTCCAGAGAACAGCATTTCTATGTAGTTTCAATCCTCTGGAATTTGATTGGTAATTGTATTAGTGATTCCTTAAAATTGATCAGTCTCTCTTACATGGACATTTACAAAGCCAAAAGTATACTAAATTTGTAAATCTGCAAGGATGTAGACATAATAACTTACAATTTGAAACAAATCCATAGGCATTTTGAGAAGGCAGTTTATTATATTTTAATGAGAATCGCAGAAATCTCTTAGAGACTAGATCTGTATCACACATAACAAGGACAACCTCTCCCTGATGTAAATCTAGGAAGGAAACCAAAATCATAGGCAAAGGGAGATATGGCATGACAGAAACAGAGAAAAGATAATGGAGAAATTAAACAGACAGTTTGTTCATAACCTGTAGAGCAGATCAAGCCCCTGGTAATGCCTCAAATCCCTACTGTCTTTGGGCTCTCCAAGTTTACTGTCTCACTCCTTGATGTTATCAGATACTCTTTCAAATTGTGTTCTATGTCCAATGTTCTGATCAACCCTTTCCTATTAAATAGCAGTTAATTTTAAATTAGTAATACCAATGATTAGGCCATTATCAGACTCTCTCTTCCCAAAATGAGAAAGCCAATCACATAGAGTAATGTGTCTCAAACTTTTTTTTTCCTTCCCAAATGGAGTCTCACTCTGTTGCTCAGGCTGGCCAGGAACTTGCAAGCCTTATAATTTAGTCTTCTGAGTAGCCTGAATTATAGGTATGTACCACTAGGCCCAGCTAGGTATCAACTTTTAATGTAAATAAGAATCACCTAGGAATTTCATCCAAATTATGTTCTAACTCAATTGGTCTGGGTTGACACATCCATTTCTTATAAACTACCTGATACTACTGATATTGCTAGTTCAAGAATCACACTCAGTATCAAGAACTTAGAAGAAACATCTACACAGGTCTGCTCCTATTTATTAAGGATAATGAGAATCACAGAAATCTCCTAGATCTCAATCACACATAACAAGAACAACCTCTCCCTGATGTAAATCTAGGAAGGAAACCAAAATCATAGTTAAATAGGTTGTATTGGTTTAAACTCAAGAGTTCTTGAGAGCTTCTGTTGACCCAAGTGTCATATTAGCACAATATAGAAAATAGTGAAAATAAAAAATACCCATAAACTCACACCCAATATAAGCATCACTACAATGTTAGTATAATTCTTTCCTATCTTTTTTCCTATATATTGATTCCCATAGTTGTAAAAACTTTTATATTCTACTTTACTTATCATATCATTTTAAAATTTCACTACCTCATCTTCATAATTAACTCTTATAAGGACCACTACATTGTAAGTGAAAAAGAAATGTAAATTTGAAAGAAATAAGCCAAATATAAGAAGTGAATCTCACAGGTGATCAAGTCAGAGGTGAACTCCTTTTTTTTTTCAAAGTTTATCAAACAGAACTTTTGCAAAAGCTAAATAAGAAAATAAGTAAACATAGCTATTTGTGCAATGGACCATAATTGACTTAATCATTCCCCTGTTATTAGAGATTTGCATTGTTTCTAGCTTTTGCTGTTATAACCATTTTAATGAATGTTTCTATACTACATGTAACCTTTTCCCTATTTTGTGGGGCTTCCTCCCCTCAGAATGAATTGTCTCTGTCTCTTTTGACTGCCTTGTATAAGGTTTTACATAATCTTTAAGGTATCACTGTGACCACCCAAGATAACTGTGATGCACTGTATGTAACTAATAGAACATGCTCAATAAGTGTTCCACTGCTGTAATTATTTATCATCATTGTCATCATCAGCATCATTTCTTCAGGGCTGTTCTGAAGATTGGATGAGATAATGTATATAATAATCTGTAAGCATATAATAGAGAGCTTAGTTGATGGTAGCTATCAATAAAAGGACATAATAAATGCTCAATAATCTGTTGAATGGCAGCATGAAACCCATTTAAACTCAGAGGCATTCAACAGTGTGCCTCAGCTTACAATAGTAAAGACAAACAAGATTTGCTATGTTGCAGAGTCCTCCACAGATCGGCTATTTCCTTAGACCAGGAAGAAGAAGAAAAGTCACTGAGTGACAATGTCAGAGCTGGAGCTTTTGGGGGCCAGGAAACCCTTGGTACTTAATGTTCTGAACCCTTGACCACGACCCAGTCACATCATGCTTTAATGACTTGCAGCTGAAATTAGACCAAGATGTAGAAAAAAATGAAAATGTTTCTGAATATGGTTCTGTGATTCCATTAGTCAATTTCAATCAAATTACTAAATTAAATGGAAGCCAAAGTTCACAGTCTCCAGAGATCATTGAAGCAAAACCTTAAGCTTTTTAATCACAAAGCTCATGGCAATTTCCTCAAGTGCCAAGATCTGATGTTCTTTGGGCAAGAGTTATACTCACGCCATTCCACAAGTTATTGAGAAATATAGACCCAGAAAAAGAGTCATTAAGAAACCAATGATTTAAAAAAATCAACTAAATGGTGCAATTTTAACTTTAAAATTACCAATAATAAGTCTTCATCAAGTTTGCCAGAATCTGGTAATATCTAGCCAGTTCGGTTGCAGTAAGAAGTAACTGAATTGATGTTAATGATCCATTCACTTAAGAAAAGAAAGGGTGGGGGCTGGGGTTGTGGCTCAGTGGTAGAGTGCTCGCCTAGCATGTGTGAGTCACTGGATTCCATTCTCATCACCACATAAAAAAATAAATAAACAAAATAAAGGTATTATGTCCATTTACAACTCTAAGAAAGTTAAAAAATAAGAAAGGGTGAATTTCATTATCTGATGGGAATGAAACTGCATTATTGATTTAAGTACAGTTAATCTGGGATATAACCAAATGCTTTTGAAAAGTTATAAATAACATTAACCATGTGTGATTCTATTTCATAAAAGAATTACACACACAATTTTGTAGGTACACTTGAGTATATTGAAAGGATTTTTGAAGAAAAGATTTACTCCATGTATGCAAAGTTTATATGTAGAGTAAAAAGTCAAAATGAACACACACACACACACACACACACACACACACACACACACACACACACTGGCTCCCTGAGATTAGAAACACTTTCATGTGCTCTCCCTGAAAAGCAGTGTGGTTGAAAGCCTGGGAGTTAACAGTCCTGGCACTGAACCTCAGACCTTGTAACTTGATGCTTGATGCATCAGTTCCTTCATCTGTAAAATAGAAATAACAACTACACTCATATATGTGTTCTGAGAATTAAATAAGATGATGTATGTATAGAACTCTCAGTGCTTTACACTGATATTCTGGGTATCTAGGTGAATGCCAAATTCAGTTTTATTATTGTTATTACCACATTATTCTAGTTATTATTATCTATTTATTATTCTAGTTATAATTATCAGCCTAGGCTCAGACAACTGTGTTGTAAATACAGTTCTGTTCAGTTAGGAAAACAAGCTTAGGAAAGTCATTGAACATTTCAGTCTCCTGTTCTATATAATACATCTAAACTCCTTTTTCAGGACAACAGGGCCTGTGCACAATGCAGGGGAGGAAAGAGGAGGCACTGCAGAGTGACAGGGCTGGGACTAGGGGCAGCTTTCAGAATGCAGGATGTGTGGCATGGAAATGGAACATTAAGAGGTCTCTCCACCTCAGAACTTCCCAAACACTATGATTTCACAAACAGGGAAAAGGAATTTTTAAAAGTTTTTATGAGTCAAAATAGGTTTTTCAATTTTTTATTCTGCCAAACAATCAACAGAAACAAATAAATATCTACTATCACCATCTTTCATAAAAGAAGGAAATTTTACTACAAAAATAATGCAGTTGGCCCTCCATACCCATGGATTCCTTACCAATGGATTCAACTAACTTTGGGTCAAAAACATAGGGGGGAAATTGTGTATGAACTGGATACAAACAGACTTTTTTTCTTCTCATTATTTCCTAAACAATATGGCATGACAACTACTCACATAACATTTGTATTGTACCAGGTATCAACCAGAAACCTAGAGATGATTTCAGGTTTGGGGAACATGTGCTTAAGCTATATGCAAATAATACACCGTTTCATATAAGAGAAATCTACAGACTTTGCAATGTGAGGGGTATCCTGGAATCACTCTCCCAATGAAAGCTGAGGGACAACTGTAGAAAGAGCATAATCTTAGAATCTTCTTTAAAATGAATAGACTTCACTTGTAAAAAGGATCTGGTGAGTGGAAATCAGCATCTCAAGTATTAATAAGCAGTTTGAATGAGTGAGGGTAGGAAGAAGAGAGAAGAGGTCAAGATTTGGAACAATGAGGAGTTGAGAGGACAGAGTAGCTATGCAAGAGTAGCAGGAAGGAGCAACCCCAAAGACCAGAGAAGTGACAGGAGCAGAAACCAAGTAGGGATGTGGGTATCAGGAATGCAAGCCAAGAAAAGAACCTCTGCTTTGCTTGAGAAGAGAGGTCTATATCAACAGATAACATTATGTCTAAATATTTAAGTATCTAAATCAAATCAAGTCAATTTGGCTTTTTCATGCCATTCTAAAAGCACTACCTAATTACTACAACTAAACATCAGAAATAAAAGCTATAGTTGAAACCATTAGGCTTTCATAACTATAAATTCTTTAAAATATATAATATTCTTTATTCCAATCCACAAAGCAATATCAAAAATAGTATTCTACACGAGTCACTATAATTAGCATATCACTTATCTTTAAGGCCATAGACTACAGATTAAAACTGCTTTAAAATTTAGTCTAGGTAGTGTTATTATAGGCCAGGCTAGGCAATGACCAAACAGACTCCATTTTACCCTGAGACTCCATATCATGTAAGAAATGCTTCTCCCATGGTAAAGCTCCAACTCTGTACCCATTAATAGTTACCTAGCAATTCTTATACAATGTAAAATTTGTTCTCTTTGCTTTCCATATTTCTTGGGCAATTTACCTTTTCAGAGATTAATTGTCTAGGCGTTAGTAACCATTTTCTAACTTGTACTCAACTATGGTCATTTTGACCCACTTCCTTTCTGCTTGCTTGCTGCTATGCCAACCTGGAAAGTCCTGTGGGAAATACCAATGTACCCATTGCATTGTCTCATTAATTGCCCAATTCAGCTCCTATATTGCTTGCTTACATTGGCTAAACCCCCAAACGTCCCTCTTGTGGTTTTTTGGCTTAAATATGAGGCCAACTGAAGGCAGGTGCGTCACTCTGATCATCTCGCTTTTTAGAGAATAGAGTGTCCGCCGATGGCCAGCAATAAAGGCTTAATTGGAATGGCAATGTGTAGTCTGAGAGTTATTTGACAGTCTCGGTATATAACAGTAAAAATAAGTGAAAATAACCAAAGTCTAATAAAAGGCAAAGATTATTTGCAAACATGTTATAAGATGAAATAATAAAATATTAGGCAGCCATTAAAATTTTTTTCTTATAAAAGAATTCAGTGATGTGTAGAAATGCTCATGATATAAAATGGAGTAGAAAAGCATTATGAATTTGTAGGTAATTCCAACTTCAAAAAATATTTACAACAGGTAATTCCAGAACAAAAATATATGAAAAAGATAATATGGATCACCTCTGATATCAATATTAGTAATTTAATTTTTATATTTTATATATTTTCAACAATGAATATGCTTTAATTATAAATTAGGAGAAAATTTTTAAAATAAATTTAACAAACATACTTACTCTTGGAAGTTTAGGATTGAAGTAGTTAATTATTCCAAACTCAAAATAAGATGCAAAACCCTCATTGAGCCAGATATTGTTCCACCAATTCATGGTAACCAAGTTTCCAAACCACTTTTGGAGATGGGAGAGAAAAAGAGCTTTCTTAAATTTAAGTTATATTTATTGTAATTGCATGTTAAATAAATGTAAGTTCGAAAAGACATAATTGAACTTTATTTGCTATAAATAACAAAACTTGAAAACAGGATTCCAATAGCAGGCATTGTTTTAGCATGAGATACAAGTCATGCATTTCTCTTTTGTAATTATTTTCACATCCAATGACTGAAAGCAATTTTTGTTTTCAAACTGTAACATTTCTTAAACTGTTCACATTGCCCAAAATTATTAGGTTTAGTTAAATGAAGCAGAAGTTCTGACTGCTGAGTTACCACCTAGTAATCCTTGCACATTATACTCTAAACAGGAGTTTGCTGTATTTGTCWTGTTTTAAAAGATGACTTGATCTGTGCCACATACAAATCATTCAAGTAATCATATGTTGTGCAATGTGGTCTGCTGTAATTATTTTCTATTTGAACTGAACAGAAAAAATAAGTGTGCATTTTGAACGGAACTAAGAAAGAAAAACAATAATTTCCAAAACCAACAATGCACTGGGATTTAACCAGAGTTCTGTAATAACTGTTTTTCAGCCTGTATTCAAAAACAGAATGCAACTTAAGGTATAATAAAAAATGACACTTGTGATGACTGATCAAAGCCGGTGAAAGTGTGTGTGTGTGTTGATTATGCACTGGGGTGTTATTCAATCCTAGTAAATTGCTCTTTTCCAAACTTCTTATGGAGCCACATCACTAAGAAGTAACACTTCCATGCTTGAGATGATTTCTTTCTTGACAAATGCATGTAAATGAAATAGACTGAAATGCAGATGTGAGAATTTCCACCAAATCCAAGGGCTAACCTTCTAAAATCACAATGTGAAAGAACACTGATCTAATAAAAGAAATGTTTACACTGCCTTTGCTGATGCAGCTAGAGGATTAATTTTTGCTCTCCTCACTAATGTGTTGCCTGTACCCATTTAATCTCTTTTCAAAGTAAAATTAAGTAAAAGTTTGAAACAATTCTTTGATAAAATGTGTGTATTTTTAGTGACCCTTTTGGGTATCCTGTATTTTAAGATAGAATGAAAAACAAATACTCAGAGCTCTGTATGGCTTCTTTTTTTGTTTGTTTGTTTGTTTGTAGTAGGGATTGAACCCACGGATGCTTTGCCACTGAGCTACTTCCCCAGTCCTTTTTATTTTTTATTTTGAGACAAGGTTTCACTAAGTTGCTGAGACTGGCCTCCAACTTGCAATCTTCCTGCCTCAGCCTCCCAAATCACTGGGATTGCAGGTGTGAACCATTGTACCCAAATGCTTATTTTCCTTGAAGAAGACTTTGTGGATCAGTTATCTTTGGATGTAAATCCTTATCCCTTGCCTGGACTTGAGGCCTCATCACCATGATCCATCACCAACAGCCTAAGTCCAGCTGGAATCCCACTAAGCAGATCCTTCCTTGATTTTACTCACTGTCACATTTTTTTAAGGTTTAAAAAAAAATGTTGTGTGGCAGTGTTTTTGTTTTATGCTATTTTTGGTAGAGCAGCTGGAGAATACCTCTATGCGAAATAAAAAAAAAAAAAGAACATTTTACCACATGCCTGGTGTCCAATCTCATGGGAGAGAATGTAGGAGATCAGAGTCTTTTTCTCGGTCAGTTGATCACTTGGTAGCAGCAACAATAATGATTCATCAAACATCAGTAGTCCCCAATTTTCCATTGCACGGTTGTCAAAAACAGGCAAGGCAATTAAATCTAAGTGGATTTAAGTGGAGGAAAAAATGAAATCATCCCCTCCAAAAAAGGTTAAGATTTTAGCTATAAATTATCTTAACATGAAATTACAAAATTACTGAAACTTACAAGAGAATATTTATAACCTGAGGGGAGAGAAGGCTTTTTAGAGAGTAGCAKCAAAGACAGAAAATAAATTGTTTTGATTATATAATGATTTTGATGAAGGATGGATTCAAATATACAAAGAACTCTTAAAACCCCAAAATAATAAAACAAAATGGGGAAAAGATCTGGATAGACACCTCACTTAAGATGATACACAAATGGTAAACAAAAATGTAAAGATGCTCAGCATCATTTGTTGTTAAATATGTGTACATGAAAATGAAAATGAGATACCACTATGCAGACTGGGGTTTGACCAGAATTGGGTAATGAAATGGCTACTAAAATGGCTTAAATCCAAAACACTGGCAAAGCAAATTCTGGCAAGGATGCAGAGCATCAGGAACTCTCTCCTCTTTGCTGGTAGAAATGCAAAAAATTATACAGTCACTTTGGAAGACAGTCTGGTAGTTTCTTTAAGAAGCAAAATATAGGCTTACAGTAAGATTTAAGGATTACATTCATAGGTATTTACCCAAATGAGCTAAAAACTTACATTCACACAAAAACATGCACATAAATGTTTTTAGAAGCTTTACTCATAATTGTAAAAATTGGAAGCAACTAGAATGCCCTTCAGTAGGTGAATGGATAAACTGTGGTACATTCAGTATTATTCAACACAAAAAGAAATGAGCTACAGAGCTATGAAAAGATATGCAGGAACCTTAAGTGCACATTGCTAAGTACAAGAAGCCAGTCTGCAAAAGCTAAATACTGTGTGAGTCTAAATATATATTTTGGAAAAGGTAAGATAATAAAGACAGTAAAAATGTCAGTGGTTGTCAGGGATCCAGGAGATCCAAAATTCTCCCATGCTCTACCTATTCAGATGAATAGGTASAGCATGGGAGAATTTTACAGCAGTGAAACTATTCTGTGTGATATTATAACAGTAGATACACATCATATACACTTGTCAAAACCCAAGGAACTATACAACACACTTTAGCTAATAATACTGTACTAGCATTGGCTCATCAATTGTCACAAGTGTACCACWCTAATTCAAGATGCTAACAATAGAAGCCCACAGTGAGAAAGCGAAGGAGAGGGGAGGTATGTGGGAACTCTCCACACTTTCTGCACAATTTTTCTGTAACCTAAAACTGCTTTAAAAGAAATTTAAATTTAATATTGAATGCCTTAGTTCATCAAAAATTATTGAAACAAATTTGAATGACAAACCACAAACTAGAAAAAAATATTTATAATATATACCACACACACACACACACACACACACACACACACAAACTAGAAAGTGTGTGTGCATGGGTGTGTATGTGTATGAGGGAAGGGAATCTATCAGAAAAAAAACATACTTAGGAGGATGAGGTCCAGGAGTTCAAAACCAATCTAGGCAACAGAGTGAGACCCCATTAAAAAAAAAAGCCAGGAATGGTGGAGCACACCTTTAATTTCAGCAACTGGGGAGGCTGAGGCAGGAGATCACAAATATGAGACCAGCCTCAGCAATTTAGCAAGGCCCTAAGTAACTTAGCAAGACCCTGTCTCAAAATAAAGGAGGAGGGGAGGAAGGGAGAGAGGAAGGAAGAAAGGGCAGGTTGGGGATATGGCTCAGTGGTAAAGTGCCCTTGGGTTCAATCCCCAGTACCAAAGTAAATAAATTAAATTAAAAGAATAAGCCTGATTTGATGGCGCACATCTGTAATCCCAGTGACTGAGGAGACTGAGGCAGAAGGACTGTAAGTTCAAGGCCAACCTTGGCAATTTGGCAAGAACCTGTCTCAAAATAAAATAAAAATGATTGGGACTGTAGATCAGAGGTACAACCCCACTAGGTTCAATCACCAGTCCCACAAATAAATACATGAATAAAAATAAAATAAAAAGAACAATTCACCAAAGAAGTCACTTAAACAGCCAAGATCTTATTTAAAATGCCCACCTGATTAATTATTAAAAAATCAAAAGTTAAGGGGCTGGGGTTGTGGCTCAGTGTTAGAGCACTTGCCTGGCATGTGTGAGGCACTGGATTCAATTATCAGCACTGCATGTRAATAAATGAATTAAATAAAGGTCCATCAACAACTAAAAAATGCATATTTTTAAAAAACCCAAAAGTTAAAAAGATATACTATAATACTTTCAAATGTACAAGATTAATAATTAGTGTTGATGCATATAATAAGAAAACTGGCACCTAAGCTGATGGGTAAAAGTGTCAAAAAGCACAATCTTTCTGGAATAATCTGGCAAAATGCCTCATAATCTTTAAAAATGTTTATAACTTTTGACTAAACCATTCTACTTTTGGAATTTGTACCAAGGCAGATAATACAGATATATGCTAATATTTCCTTATAAGGATTTTATTTAGTGTTTTCAAGGTAGCCAAGGTTAAATCAATCCAAATGTTCAATCACAGAGGGTTAAATAAATTACTYTGTTAAATTAATGTGTAGGAACTGTATGTTTGAAAACAATAATATAAAAGAATGTTTAGTTATTTGGATCTTGTTCCTGTGTACCGTTAATTAAAAAAAAAAAGGAATTCAAAAACAGTGTCAACTCTATGGTGCCATTTTCATTTAAAATGCAAATAGAAAGAGATCAAGACTGACTGATAAAATTTAAACCAAAACATCAGTCATGGTTTTATATCTGCCTGACAGCATTACAAGAGACATTACTTTTCTTTTTTGTGCTTTTCTATTTTCTTCCAAATTTTCTACATTGTRATTATTTATTACTTATATTTATAACTAGAAAAATAGATGGTTTTGTTTTCTTTTTCTAATGGAAGAAATGTCAATCCTCTAGTCCATGCTACCTTTGTTAATGAACATGCTAAATTGTGCTATGCTGAATATTTAAGTTGAGTTTACACCCATGAGGAGGAGTGTGCAGCCAAGAGCCCCATGGTCCATTGCTTAGCACCTCCRTTGCTCAGCGGGCCATGGGCACAGTTGGTCTTTAGCTACCTCCACCTCAGTTATTCTTCCTACTACCTGCACCCACACCCATCCCACCTACCAACCCACCCATTTCTCTCACAAAAAACTGCTCTGCTCCAGCCAGCCAACCCAATCCCTCTTGCTCCCCACAGTCAGTCTTTCTCTGCTCATGTTGTCTGCTATCCCAGGAAATCCTCTGCCCAATCTGTGAATGTTATTGAAATCTGTGGTCCAATYGCCCAATCTCACCAGCTCTAAGAAGCCATTTCATACTCCAGCTGCATACAGTTAGACTTAAGAGAAATCTTTTTTTCCTGATAAACTATCATTCGTTCACACAGGACCCTGTTTTACTTGACTCAAATGATTAACTCATTATTTTAATAATATAAACATGCATGCATTTACCACTCAACCCTTTAAATAGAGGGTGTCAAGCTATATCTTTTCCATCACATTTTATATTTGCCATTCCTTTACTTTAAAGAAATATTATTATGTATGTATGTATATATATATATATATTTATATATATATATATATATTTATATATATTTATACATAAATATATAGTTTAGTTTTGTAACAAAATTCAGAGTAATTGAATAAGTGCTTTCTTTTCATTGCTATACCAATTTTACATAATGGAAAATTGCATCATCATTTATTCATCATTTCTCCTATCAATGACCATTTTGTTGTTTTCATTTTGGGGCTATTATTAAAAGTACAGCTATGACTTTTTTCTTTTTTCGGTACCAGGGATTAAACCTAGGGGCACTTAACCACTGAGCCACATCCCCAGCTTTATTTATTTATCTATTTATGTATTAATTTGAAGCAGGATCTTGCTAAGTTGCCTAGGGCCTCCCTAAATTTCTGAGGTTGTTGATCCTTCTGCTCAGCTTTATGAGCTACTGGGAGGCTGGGCCACTGTGGTCAGCTAGCTAAGAATAATCCAGTTGACATCTGCTAGTACATGTGTATTTAGATTTCTCTTAAGGATATACTTAGGAATGTTATTCTAATGTCAATACTGAAAGAGAATAAATATGCTTTAAATGGTTGTAATAATTGATACTCTCATTAAGGATACTGCATCTTCTCCAACAGTTGCCACTTATTAAAATGTTTACTTTCTGACAACTGAATATAAAATGGTGCTTCACTGTGGCCTTGGATATTCATTTCTCTGATTACTAATGGAGTAAAACATCTCTTCATAAATTTGTTAGCCACATATACTCTCTTTTCTTTTCATCTAACTTGTTTTTCTATTGGGTTGTATTTTCTTACTTATTTGTAGATGTTTATATATTTGGGATACTTCAATTACCATTTCTTCATCCTCTTTCTCTTAAGACTCTTATTTGCCTAATACTCTATCTCTTGCTGATATAATTTGTTACTTGTGTTTCTGACATGTRGAAGCTGCTTCCCCAACTCTGTTTCTTGAGCAGAGCCCTACCCACCTTCTGTTTTTACGTTGACTTGGCACCTAGGGAAGTAATTGTTATTTTCCAGTATTTGCTCAGTAAATTTTGACTTTAAACAAAGTGAGTTAAAAGGATAGCCACACCAGAAAAAAAAATGCTACTACTTACTATAGATATACAAATACAATTTATATKATCTTAGATTCTGAGCTCAGAATTAATTGAGAGAATGGATTAACCAATAGCTCACTTTTGACTCACCAAGAATGACATATGTGGGAATTGCTGGTGGGGAAGGCATTGTGTTTTTTGTTTGTTTGTTTTGTTTTGTTTTGTTTAGTGACTCCACCATGAGTTGAAATAATTAAGATACATTAGTTTATCTTTCTTCTAAAGATCCAGCAATAGAGAAACGTCTTATTTTAATCATCTATCAATAGAAATGAAATTTTAATTAAGCACCTATGAGTACTTATAGGGCAACATTGGCTAAGATGCTATGAAGGGCGCTATGCTTTTATATATTTAAAGTGCACATACRATCCCACTATTCAGGAGGTGATAASTTAGTCAGAACTAGTGGCATTGCTGAACTGATTATATGTATTTATTCCTCTATCATCCTACATGCCCCACCCTGAATTTGCTTACTGGTTACCATCAGAGAGAATCACTGCCAAGGCTCTGGAGGTAAATGACAAAGTAAATGACAATCCAGATCCTGACCCTGGTTACTCTCAATCAAATGGGGCAGACAATTAGAAGACAGCCTGTGAAGGGCTCAAGTGAAGGGGTGCACAGGATCCTGTGGAAGCCTGAGGGAAGAAGTCAAGGATGGCTTCTAGGAGGAGGAGACACTGAGGTTGATGAGAATTAGCCAGTTGAGTAGAAGACAGTCCAGGATGAACAAATTGCATGTGCAAGAAACTGGAGGAAACAAGAGGGAGATGGAAGCAAAGGAAGACTGTGTTCAAACAAAGACTGTGTTCACACAAAGACTGTGTTCAAACATCTTACTACTCTGAGGAATTGGAGAAATCCCTGAAGAGGTCGGTGCACCATTCTAAAGACATGGTACTGAGCTGGGACTTTATCCTTGGGGAAGTGGGAAACCACAAGGCAGATTTAAAGAGGACTGAAAAACATGATCAGATTTTTCTCTGAAAAGATTCTTCTGGCTTTGTATGGAAGGACAGAATATGGGGCAAAATGGAAGGGGAGTAAAATCACACGAGGACTTCTGTATAGAGATATTGGTGATGTAAACTAGAGAGAACTAGGGGTAAGGAAGAAGTGAGGGGGTGGGTGTAGCAGATAATAAGGTGACTAGCTGGATGGGGGGTGCCTTAACGGGGAACAAGATAACTCTGGACTCTCATCTAAATAAACATAAATGGAATTTTTCTTGTCTAGACAAAGTTCACCTTGAGAGCCTCCAGCAAAGAAATGCTAGAAGCTTCATCTGCAAGCCCACTCTGATGCCTTCAATCCCATAAATGACAGATGTCACCTTCAGGATCTCTCACTGGGCTGAGGTTGGTTCCCTTCCTTCACTCACCATCCCCTCTTAGCAGAATCTTAGAGCTGCAAAGCCTCTGGCTTTCTGGTGTTCCAGAGCCTCAGGCCTCAAATGTTTACTCCCCACCTTCTTTCAYCATTTGCCACTATAGGCAGAGTGTCCTGTTTCTAAGACTTCCACTAACATGTCCAAGGAATAAAACATATTTACATGGTACTCTCCATTTAGAGAGGAAAAAAAAAAACTTTGAGCAACTTTCTGAACTGAGTGGTTCATACAATTTTACATACATACCACAAATCTATGAGCAATAAAATATTTACATATTTCCTTCAGGATCATATTTTATTTACACATGATTCCAATTTTATACAATAAAAATTCACAGATGTGACCACCAAATCCTAATCCAATGACTCACAGCTAAAGAATATTTAAAAAAAAAAAACTGAAGGGAAGTGGAGTACGTCATGCAAGCCCATTAGCTAAAAGGATCCAGAACCCCACACAGCACACTTGCATTATGTGAGAAAAACCCAGAACACAAAGGAAAGAAGGATCTGGAGGAAGCGAGCTGCCAGTGAGTGCCCAGGAGAAATTTAAACCCCAAAGTTTTTGARTCCCTGCTGGGGACATGGCACCACACAGAGAAAGAACAGATAGGCCTCTATGGTTTCAGATGATGCAAAACATAACAATGGAAGGTAAGTTCCCATGAGCACCTTGTGGCCTCAACTCAAGGACCCCATAACAAGAAACCAATTGCATTGGAAGAAAAGATGCCTCACCTGTTTTGGGAAGAGGATAACTGATATTAAATAAATCCTCCAGAAATGAGAAGATGGGACCTGTAATGTTCAAAGCAAAGTCTGCGTTTCCATTTGCAATGGCATCTTTCCGGGCCCAGATGTGTATCTAAATCAAAACAATTCAGCAGTGATTAGGAAAACCAATAGAGATTTGGAAAAGTGGCAGCCTGCTTGCTCCATCTTCTTATAGCTCTACAGCCAAATTCTTACCTTTTCAGAGGCTCCATGTTTAAAACACTTCAATGAATACTTGTGCTGAGAAAACCCCAGAAGACAGTTGACTGAGTTAAGAACCAAAAAAAGTGTGTAATGTTGACTTTTGACAGTAATATGCATTACTCTGTAATTGAAAAACAACCCTTGGAATGGTCCATACCACCATCCCATAGAAAATGCAGATTCTACATAAAAGGACATTTTGAATCCATTATTCCCTTTTCAGGATATATTTCTAATGACCCAAAACATAATTGGGCTGTTAGTGGTGGTTATACCATATGGTATAAATTATATAAATTTAAAATGGTTCAGCAATTAAAATATTAATTGTCCCACCTTATTTTCAAAATTTAAAAAATAATTAATTCCCCTAATTTTAAAAAGTTCATTAAAATTTTAATAATTTTAGACCTATTAAAGCAAATGAATTATATTCTCTGCTTATTCTCTTGCAAAAGGACACTTCTACTTTAGATGGTAAAAAGGAAGCTCTGCTGTCTTTTGTCAGTTTTATGTAACCACACTGTTTTTTGAGCCCTTGGGAACTTCTATCTGTGATTTTTCTGAGTAATATGCCACTATTTTAACATTCATTACTACTGTAATATGGAAGTATTTTATACTCTACAACTATAGCATCTAAATAATTTTAATAGGATAGCCTCATTAATGCTAAAGAAAATACATAAAATTAAGAAAGCTTGGAACAAAAGTTAGAGGTGAGGATATTAAAATATATGTCCTGATGTGAATGCAATTAACTTAAGAAAGAGCTCTCTAAAAACACTGGAGAAAATGTCAAAAAGCTGCACAATAGTTACAGGCTTAGGTACTCCAAGAACACATTCACCTAACTATGCTTTTATTTCCGCTGGAAAATTTGTCTTGAATTATGTGAATTTTGAATTACATGAAGGTTCAGGAATGCTCCTCTTGCACAAAATACAACCACCTGTTCTTGAGCCTCCAGCCTGGTTCCCTTCATTGCTTTCTGCCTCTTCTGAGCTGCAGAGGCCTCATTACAGTGGGAAAGATGACCCCAGGACTGGGCCCTGCCCTTGCACTACACCTACTCTCCCCCTTCTCAAGTTCTAACTTCTGAGGTGACAGGAAGCCTGCTCGACCAAAGGTGGAAATAATATTCATCTTTCGCCACAGTAGAGAAAATGTGTGTGTTTTAACTGTAGCCTTCTGGAAAATAATAGCATTGACAATTCATGTTTACATATTAATTTTCAGTTTACAAGACTCCTCCCATAAAAGTGACCATTCTTCCAGCCCAAAGTTAAGGTGAACTATGGAGTGTGTACCCCCTGGAAATGCAGCAAGGAACACAAACTGGTAAGGATTATTTTAGAGATGCAGCTGTAAAGTTCCTTCCAAATAATACCTGGCTYACCACTGTATTCTGGTGGTCCTTACTGGACACAGCAGGTCTTGACATCTAAAAGAATAATATCTTTGAAAAATGCCTGTGCATGCCAAATTCCACTCAGAGTTATTTCCATCCCTACGTATAAGTCTCCTATGTTTATCCTCATGCTTCACATTCACATTAACTACATTCCCCATTCCACTAAATCTTTTTCTCTTATTTAATGAGCAAYGTTTAGATAGGCTGGACACTATTCCAAGCATACATTCTGGTATCCCTGTAGAGTATATGGTGGACTCATCAACATTGTAGAGCTGAGCCATAGCCAAATGCAACATTCCACTGATAAACTCAACCCAAACTTCAGTTTTCTGGCTAAGAACATTACTTTATGAGGCATGCAAATCCATTTCCTCCTTGTTTCTATAACAGCTGTATTCTTTATAGGGTGATCTTTCATGAAGAAATAGATTTTATCCCTTTCTAAGAATTGTTGGCTGAGCAGCACAGACCATAACAAGCAACCTAAGGTGTGGATTCCGAGGGACCACTGTGGGTCTCTCACTAGTTTGCAAGTCATGCCTGAGCAGATTTGTCGAGGTATGTCATGAAAATTTTTCTTGGCCAACATTATATCTATGAATGTCAAGGATCTCCTAGTAATTATTCAGTAAGGGAAATCAGACTGGGGTAAATAGCATAGGAAGATAACAAGCTGATGTTTGCATCCAAGACAGTATTACTAATTCATTAGGTTAGAAGGAATATAAGAGGAACAGCTTTGACAGGTTCTCCCCCCATGATGGCTTGGCTCACCTACAGGTTCCTCATCTCCACCTGTCAATGGTATGAGCCTGGAAGATCTCAGGCTCCAGTGTGGCTCAGTCAACTGTAGGGCCTGATTTCTCTCAACCCCATGAAACCAATGCAAGTAGAAAGAAATGGGCTGAAGGCTCTGGCCTTACTTACCTCCRCACTCTGATAGGAGGAGAACAGTGTATAAAGTTATCCAAATAATCTTAATATTTTCCTAATAGTTTATGAAGTACTGAGGGTATTATTGGATGGAGACCAGGTATTTCAGAACAGAGCACCCCACACATACTTTGAGGAACACAGCAGCCCAGCTTCTAGGCARGGATGACATTTTACCTACATGTACCATCTCAGCCACAGCAGTTGCTCCTGGCTGGTGTCTATTTTGATTGGTTGGTGCCTGGGCCCCACTTGGTATTCAACACTTTGAGTATCACCAGTTTCAAGACTACATTAGCACTTGAGGCTAAGTACAATATATTATAAATCTGAGCTCTGAGGTAACAGCGTGGCTGCTCTCCCTGTTCTTTCCCATCCTCTGCAAAGGCAGAAACAAGAAGAGAGTGCTCAGAACTTGCCTTGAGGAGTGGCTTCCATGGAAACCCCTCCTCAGAATAGTAGCAGGAAATATTATCTCTCATTTTGCAAAACCACACCAAAAGCATTAACAGGACTTGGAAGAGACAATTGGACATACAGGCATAACACCCAGATATAGGCAGAGTAAGTGAATAATTGCAGTCAATGTCTTGTTCCTTCCTAATGAATCTTCCTTACCTCTTTGCCCCTTTCTGTTCTGCTGACATGGTCATAATCACATATGGCAAGTGCGACCAAGTAGGTTGGCATGTGGGGTGTGGTGTAAAAAGTGGTAACAGTCCATTTGCTTCCATTCACATCTTCTTTTTCAGACTGACCTAGAGAAATGTGTTTTAGTCCAAATCACTGTAAACATAGGCAATAAAATTTAACTCTAAAATAATTTATCAAGTCAGTTTCCAACCACTTACCAACAACTCCCCATGTTCTAGCATTTGGATTTCTCTACTATCCCTATACCATCAAAACTGCATTAGATTATTGTAAACTACAATCACCCCAGACTCCAAACACAAGGTAATGACAAGGAGATAGAGAAGCTAATTACCCTGATGTAATCAGTACACATTGCATACCTATATTAAATCATCACACTGTACCCACAAATATGTACAATTAATTAACAATAATTAATTTTTCAAATAAATTAATTAAAAGTATATTAAGAGGAGACCTAAGGACAAAGTCTTGGGCCTAAGTCAGCAATTTGAGTTACATGGGGTTGTCTAAAGGTCAAGTTTATGAGGCTTGTAAATCTGATCCCCAATCTGCCTTTTTTCTCTTCTACCCACTTCTCTTTCCTACTCTGGCCCACTTCCCCCAGTGCTTAATCTAGAGCTGCCTGGATACAATTCTACCATTCTCAGGTTTCAGCAAGGTAACCAGCAGAGGCAGTCTAGAGCTTATGGCTGAAATTGCAAACCCAAATGTTCATGAGAGCTAGGCATTTGATGTGACAGGGGCTGGTGTATGCCAACCATGAGTGCTGGAGACAATGACAGGTTAAGGAATGGAGGCTAACCTGCAGAAGGGAGACATTTCTTAGCTGCAACTGATGGCTATCAGTAAAAGTTGCAGGTCCAGTGTTGTTAGAGGTGCTGAATTCTTGAAGCAATAAAAATCTATATTTTTACATGAAATGTTTGGACCTTTAAAAGTTGGAACTAATTTAATTAAAAGAAAAATCACATGAGACAAATAAAATACACCTGTGTATCAGATTCAGACYAAGTCCACTAGCTGGTTATCACTCAAGATCAATAGCTGAAACTCAAACTATCGGGTGGGTAGGCTGCCAATGTATAAGAACAGTTAACATCCCTGGATTCTAAAGCAAAAAGAATCAGGATTTATCATCCCCAAAATGTGGGGGCTGACACATACCTACGTGATGGCTCTCCCCAGTTCAAACAGGCCACAACTACTAGCACACTGCATAGAAAAACGATCATCATAAAAGCTATTGCAAGGTTTATGTTTCTGTAATGACAAGAAGTATTACTTACCTCGCTGTGGCATGTTGGAAAGGGCCACATAGCTTGGATGATGAATAATTGTAATATTAAAAGTTGCCTTCAAAGCTGGCTCATCAAAACAAGGAAAAACACTCCTGGCAAATGTTGGTTCCATCTGAGATGCTAAGAGGGCCCTGAAATACATTTTGGAGAAAAATTCATTTATTTTTGTCTAAATTGATGGAAGGGGGGGGGAGAGCAAGAGATTGTGGCTTATAATTAAGTCTGGTGTGTGGGAAGGAGCCGGGTACTTTTTCTGCATCTTCCTCACTGCCCTCCCATAACACTCTCTCCAGTTCTCACTGCACCTTAGAATTCCTGTAAGACCTAAAATTAAAAAAAAAGAACTCTCTAATTTTCAACCACAAAATAATATTTTCCTCATTGCATCATAAACCTTTAAAACATTTTATAAACAAAATAGAAACAAACATAGCAAATACACAATGCCTGTATTTTGAGGAACTGGCCTTCTTAYAACGAGGATTACTTCTTTGAGGATGGTATATTGCTTTCGGCCTTCATTAAGTCAGTTTGAAAAATGTCTACATTTCTTTTCTTTTTACCAAACGTTCCCTTTTCTTCCTGGTTGAAAACTTATGAAAGGTTTTGTTTTGGACACCCTTGGGGGTAAACAATATGGGTTCATGCCAACTGAACAAAACAACTTTTAGTTATATGTGCCTACCCACATATATTCGTCAAATCTCTACTGCTGCTTATTCTTCTTCCATGGAAAAACACAAAACTCACATTATCTCACAGAGCACTGATAATTTATAAGGAAAATCTTGGGAACAAGGATCCCTAAACAAACAAGATGATGTCAGGATCACAACACTGCCTGAGTTAGCCAAGAACAGGGTTCTTAGCAAATAACTTCCTCCTCAAAATAAACCTGAAATCCTATTATCCCACTTGCCACTTGGTGACCTGGGACCCTGTCTTTAGATGACTGCTGTGAATGTTAAATTCTTTTGTCAATTAGAATCCTAAGACTTTCTATCTCTGATCCCTTTATTCTTGCTTCAGGCCCAATTCTTGGAAAAGGTGAATTCAACAAACATATCTTGAAAGGGTGTGTCCCTCCATTCCTTACCCTGGGGAACCCTTCTTTTCCCCACAATAAGGCTTCTCTTCTAACAAAAAAAAATCACACAGCTTTAGGAGGGACACATGGGGCACCGGAACACATTTGGAAACCTCTTATAATCAGATAATTTGGTGTGTCTATAACTTCACTGGGACAAAACTATAATTTGTAACTAGCATTTTTTGCTATTTGCTTTTTCCTATTTTATTATACTCTATTGCATGGACTGGCAGGAAGCCTGTGAGCTCTAACACCACYCAATATAACTATAAGACCCTGATCCCTCTCCTACTAACTGGGAAATCCTGAACAAGTCACATAAGGTTGCTGAGTCTCAGTTTGTCCATGTAAAAAAATAATGATACYATTTTATTGCTGTTTGAGCTTTCATAATGTTAAGGACTAAATTTACCAAAATATCACATTTGAATTATCCTATAGTTCTTTAAATCTAAGAAATCATTCTTGATTCAGATGAATCAGAGAAGAAATCAAAGAGCAGTATTTACAGGGTAGGGATGGAGGGTTGGGAATCACTAATTACAAATGCATTAGCCCCTAAATCCCAAGTTTTAATGTCTGTGACTACTTCAAAGAAATTGCACAGGTGTATTAAAATATATTGGAAATTCTAAATTAGAGCTTGTATATATTATTACATTAACTGACATTAATGCAGTTAACATTATTATATGTAATTATAATTATATTATTACTAATACTATAATGTAACTATATGCATATTATATATTATATACTATATTTAAGTTTTAATAGGTGTTCCACATCTGGAATGATGGGACAAAATGGTTTAAAGAGGTTGTAGGGTTAGAGCTGACCACAAGCTGAATAATAATTGTTTTTATCTCTGAAAAAAATTACTAGAAGTTAGGGATTATGTATTTTTTGTATTATTTACAATACTTTACAAAAGCTGTTTCATAGCAATTAAATAAGAATTTGCTCAGTCTTAGAGATATTATAAAATACCAACAGCTTAATATTAGCACATATAATATTGAAGTACTTTAGTAGAGTTTTTTAAATATATTTTTAGTTGTTGATGACGTTTATTTTATTCACTTATTTATATTTGGTGCTGAGAATTGAACTCAGTGCCCCACACATGCCAGGCAAGCACTTTTACTACTCAGCCACAATCCCAGCGCTGTAGTGTTTTTTATACTGGCATTTGTTTGTAGTTTTGGCTACTGTTTTTAGGAGACATGAGATAATGTAGAGAATATTCATTCAACTGATAGCTTAGTGGGAAAAAAATATCAAAAGGGAATTCAGCCTTATGAGTTTTTGCTTGGTATCTGCAGTATAGACAAATGTGTAACTTTGAGAAATTGCTTAAAATCTCTAGAAATCCATTTCTTTAAAAGGCAGGTATGGGACTAGATGATCTTGAAGGTCAATTAGAATGATAAAACTGTGATTCAAGATGGATAAAGAGCCCACGAGGTGACCATGACTGAGTCATCTGAAGTTGGGGAAACCTCCGCTTGGGGGTTCATGCATGACTTTGAGGAAGTCAATAGCACTATGAAATTACAGAGCACTTGTACAGATGGTGACGTATTAACATAAAAATTGTGGTGCAGAGTGAAAAAGCATACCCAATTATATAAAACATGCTTATACATATGGAAAACCAACAGATGACTATTGTTTTTATAAAAGAAACCAAAAATTAAAGCATGATGATAACCTCTCCACTGCTGTGACATCACAAAACTTGGGAATCTTAGAGAAGTTGCAAGGTAAAGAGTAGGGAGAAAACAAGACTCTTCAAGGAAATGGCAAACTTTTATGCTACGGGCTCAAATAGGACACCAGCTTGGAGAGTAACCATTTGAACAAATCAAACATCAAGCAAATGCCTTCCAATTCCATGATTCAGGTCTCCAGAGAGGTGAAATAGAAGAAACTCACTTGACTCTTATTCAACTAGTTCCCTCTTCGATTTATACAAACTGTCTTTTTGGTTTTCAATCTTAACTACAAAGGTCAGGAACAATCAGCAGCATATAGGATCTCACTAAGTCACATCTGGTGTCCTAAGGGTGCTGTGTCTTCCCTCACCCCTCTGCTATGGAGTCAAGTAACCCTGTAAGGCTATTCAGACCTCAAAAAATAGAACCATCCACCACTGTCTTCTCCCTTCAAATTTTACTGAAACATGTTATTATGGTGCACATTAAGTCTATGTTTAGAGTRGTCAACTGGTGAGGGAATTAATGTGGAAATATTTGCAGAGCCACTTTCCTGCCCTCTTGTCTTGCCAAAGAAACATGGACTTGCCACTCTCTGGTGCTGGAAGAGATCTCAGTGGTCAAGACCCACATGATGCCCTTGGGGAATAAATCTACTACTTTATTAAAAAATACCTACTATATACACACAGTAAGGAATTTCATTCCAAATTATTGAACTCTGTATGCCTGCAGCTCTAGTTAATAAGTGCTAAACAGCAGAGCTGGTCAAAGATTAAGTAAAACTCTTTAAGAGTCATTTCACCCACCCCTGCTTAATTTTTTTTTTTACACAATACACACTTAGAAATCAAAATGTTTAGTAGAGCCAGATGTTACACCACTGGACTGTGGTTCAAGGATTGGCCCATAAATCATGTTTGTTTATTACTTGTGTAATAGGATCTGAAAACTGAAGTTTCCACCAGGCAACAAAATATAATAGATTCGAAATTCCAAAGAAAAGTTCCAAACCATGCTTTGAAGATCTTCAAAGTAAACAATCTTTACTGGGGGTCCTTTTGGGATTCTCAGCTAGTTATAAAAAACACAGAAGGGTAAGAAATGATGACAAAAGAGACCAGGGAAGAGATTTTTTGGATGGCAGTGAGTATTTTGCCAGGTTTTCCATGAAGTCAGGGAGATAGGAAAAGGTCAATCCTCTAACCCTAGTCTAGTGGGAGAAGACCCTCAGAGAACAGTAAAAGTGTTTCTTAAGGATAAAAGACTTAAAGACTGGTGTCCAACTCACTATTGGGAAAGCTGAAATTGACACTGTGGCCAGAATCTAACAACTCCTACCAGGCAAAATGCTAAAGGCAAAAGAACTGACTGCTTCGGAAGCAAAAATCTGGGACATTGACAGTCCCAGGCAAGGGTTGTATGAGTGTTCCTTAAGAGCTGTGGGGTCTGAGACAAAGTAAGCCAGGATGAGGATTGTCTTGTCCTGTCCAGTAGAGCCACCTTCAAGAAGCTGAAGGACAGTGGAGATTCATTACTTGATGCTCAAGGACCGAGAGTCACAGTGACCATCAGAACACAGAAATAAGTATCCTGCTGGATTAGGGGAATGACAGGAGAAAGTGAAACAGCAGGAAAAATAAAATAGAACCATCCAAACCATAGAGTCTAAGAAAGTGATATCTTAAATGATAAAGACATCTGTAAGGCCAGAAGAAGAAGTACTTGCCCTGTGTTTCACCTAGTTCTCTTGGCCCCTGACCTCTGCACCCTTGTGAGATTGAAGTGGCAGCTATCAAAACAGCAGGGAGGACTAGAAACAGGAGGTGGAGAAATGGAGATCAACTACTCCTCACCTTCATAAATCTTCATAAAAGATTTGAATCATTGGTCACTGAATTTTCTTGTTTTTGCCACTGACTACATTTGTGGCTTCCATTCAGAGCCAACTGTGAAGTAGGGAGTGAGGATGCAGTGGGGTGGGAAGGAGAGATAACAGTAAATGAAATTCAAAGTTTTGAGTATTACACAAGACTTGATTTTCTCCTTTTGGCCTCTGAATGTATTTGTGATTTAGTGACAATAGATCATTTGTCACCTAAGAATGAGCAGGAAATTATAGGTTACTGGAGTCATAGGAGTAGGAAAGATGATACCATAGACTAAACTGTAAAAGGACAGTGGGAAAAACAAACTTGTATTTTTACTGCATTATGAGGTATGCCATTTCAGTATGTTTGCAAAAGATGCAGGATTTAAATATTTGGTTAGCAAAATCATTTACCAGAGAAAACTGCTTAGTCACATGAAATCCATGGGTTCA